AGTTCACAGAATAATTAATTGACGTCACCCAATTGTTTTTCTAGAAGACAGTCCTGAATCCCGACGCGTTTAGTTCTATCGAGTAATTAAATATTGGAAATTATACTTGTAGCACGTGCATTTATAAACGTATCTATGAGTTGTTCGATGGGTGCCGTAGTTGTGTCATGGTTGTGATTTGTGACTCACTTACGGGAAATGTTAGTGTAATGTAGAAATTTCTAAAAAACGTCAACGCCATTTAGCGGTTTGCGATGTAACTAAGTAGTTTGTACGTTACAGTGAGAGTAATAAATAACCATTACAAAATAATAACTTAAAAATTACTTTTAATAAAGCGACCTGCCTGAGTGAAGTAATAGATTTCTCACAGATGGCACTACAGCAAAAAATTCTTTAAAAAATCAAAACCAAAGATCAAGCCCAAAGAAACTGTAAGGTCCAATGGTTTGTTCCGTGTCTAAATCCGTGTCTATAGCATCTAGCACGGTTTGCTGAAAGACCCAAGTTCAAATTCAGCCGGATCGAAGGAATTATTTCTTAGTGAATTTCATAGGATCGTCCCAATAATTACATCTCGAGAAACGATAATGCACACACTTTGTGAGGAATTGATTGCAAGCAAACTGCAAATAATTTTACTTCTGCGCTGAAATATCTATTTCACTCTGGTAATTAGTTATTATTTCTTCTTTGAGAACAAATTAGCTAAATCAAAATAACAAATCAGAAAGTTGTCTAGGTGTGGTGGAAGTACTATTTTTGGTGATCGGTAGTATCGATAGAAAGTAACGAAATGAGCATTTTTTATTTCTTAATTTCGTTTATTTAGTTTAGGAATGTTTATATCTGTTAATATAAAATTGTGCATAAACTAAATAACATCAAAATGCCTATTACAAATCTTCAAATTCAAATATCAAAATTACAAAACATAAATTTTAATTATCTAACTTACATTTTTTAAGTCTTTCACAAAATAATATACAAAAAAAAATCAGTTGCATATATCCAACACTTCTCCATTTTCAGGCATACACATTCACACGCACACTATTGAACGTAACTACAATTATTGTTGATAGATATTGCAGTTGTACTTGTTTTATTTTGACGGGAATACGTTCGTGCTTTCATTTTTCGATTTTGCTCAGATTCTTTTTAGTTCCTTGTGAACTTGTATTCCAAAACAGTTCCTCCATTCATAGCACAAGAATCATTACCTTACGTTCAAATGAACCAAATTTGAACTTAAATTCATGCATGGCAATTTTTAGCTGAAATTTATAACATTAATTGAGTCTTGACAGCATTTCGGTACAATATAAATAATCTAATTCTGCACCTAGACCAAGATCACTACTATGTTTGCAAAACAATGACAATTAGCGACTTTAATTAAACACGATAATATCAGAATAGTTTGTAACCGCGATCCGTTTCGAACGACTTCCGCATTTTCAGGGGAAAAAAGTCAGAAGCCAACGACCTAGTGAGATCTAATATTAAAAAAGTTCAGTGTTACAAGTGCCTTTTAAAAGTTTAAATATACATTGATGTTTATGCTACCTGATGCCTAAAGAATTGGGTGATTATACAAGCAATGAATACAGTACATTTGATGAGAGGCAGGAATGATATGCGTTTGCAGGGGGAATCAAAGCGCGGTTTATTGACATGTGAGGTAACAGTATGCAACAATGTTGCATGGAAATAGAGCTGTGCCATAGCGGTTAAAGAAGTTCTTTTCTAGCACCTTCTTAGTAACAAAAATGTTAGACTCGTAATTTTCCTTGGAAGAAATCTTGTGGGCAGTGTTTCGCTATGTTAGATAATATTAGATTACACTACGTTTTATGGCGATCGTCAGCTCACGAAGCCTATAGTATATAGATTTTAACATAGAGATCTCATTTTGAAATGCAATCTAGAACATGTACTACGTAGGTATTATATTATATGACTTAGGTCTCGAAAATTCTGTACGTTTAATTTTAGAACTCTATCGAGATCAACGATATACCCAAGGTCAACGATCTAAAAGCCTACATTTTTCGACTATTTAAAGGTTAACGTACGATGAATAGGTAGCAGTAGTTTCTTTTCGTGATTCAAAGCATTGCTTTGCGTCGTCCATTTTTTAAATGGAGTTAAGAAAGCAATAAGACCTTATAACTCTACATCACGGGTGGCTTTCATAGAAAATATCCCTTGAAAATACGAAGTAAAAATATAAGAATGTGTTGGCAAAGCGTAATAAATCAAAATATTGTATATCATACTACATGTCATTTTTAGTGTACGTGTAATTCGTTAGCCAAATAAATTTCACTGGTTATATAAAAAAATAATGACGCTCTACGAGTAATATATGTACCTATTATAACGCATAAACATACTATTTACGTACGATACTTTACGCAATAGTGTTAGTGAACAGACTACAAGGCAAAATAAAATAATTCATTAAGTATACTTTATATTACAAACAATAAAATATATACCACGAAATTCCTACTTTATGTTACATGTACGGTATTCCCATGTTTGTACAGCTTGTATGTTATTTAAAGTAATTTTATTAAGGAAAAGATAATCAATTAATAACGCACTGTAGTAGGATTTTTCCGTGACTTTGTTGAGGTTTCCCAATTTAAGAAACCATTAAATTCAAGACTGGCTATTCCGAACATTACCATTATAATAGATTTTTTTACTCATAGTAAAATACATACCCTTTCTTTAAGGCTAGGAGCAAGTTGAGCTACAAAGGAAGTGTGGTTAAAAATCTAATTTTATTTTTAAACAAAGAACACGAATAACAAAACCACCATATCAGAGTCGAAAACTTCTTGTCAACGTTAATTAGTCTTATTGTCTAGTTTCTATACTTCTACCATGAGTTTACATTGTCGATAGTCGCTAACGGCTCGTCCACTATTTGATAATTGTATATGGCTAATTGTGCAGCACTCCTAGCAGTCATAATACCGAACTGACACTTTCTAATCAAAATACTGTGTACCTGCTATCGGCACTAAAATCATGGTAGAGGTACTGATATTATTTATTATTTTGCTTCTGCATGAAAAACGTTCTCGTCTATCTCTTTTTAGCATCTAGTGATTAAAATCACATCGGAAACGAGAACAAACACATATTCACTCATTTCTTTTGTTAAATGATAAATCATCTGCTTGTATTATTGCGCGACCTATTTAAACAGACAATCGCTAACAGATTTCATGGTTTTAACTTAAAAGTTCTTTGTTAGTTACCACAGACATATCTAGATATATGTCTATGTTAGTTACTGTAAAAATACAGTAAATTAGTTACGGTAATGAGCTGGACCATCGTCCTTGACTTCTATGTATTAATAGGTATGTGACGAGTTGTTTTATAAAAGAAAATAAATTAACTGAAATTTTCAAATACATTGAAGGACACATCTTGTTATATTTAATAATGATAATTTACTTAACTTTAACCATAATTACATTTGAAGACTTTATCTAGTTATTATTTGATTTGCAAATTATATTTAATGACAATCAAAAGCTAATGTATGGTAAAAATATATTTATGCCTAAATTTGGAGGAAAAGTAATAGTATTATTATATATAAGAGATGTATTATAGTTATACTGCTTTTCCCCCCAACGTTGTTTGCGTATAATGTAGCGTAATAGTTTATTACTTTTAAAATAAGTGTTCTACTACAATAAATCGTTCAAGTTCACAAGGTATGTACATGATGTGTACGGTGACGAGTATATTATCGTGAAATATAGAATAATATTTCAAGTTATAATACATTATATAAAAGAATGCTTCATGATAACATACGAGAATATTTATTTAATAAAAATTGCCACCGAATTAGGTAGAGATAGATATAATGAGATATGCTTTCATATGTGTAATATCATTCAGATAGATGTAGTCTAACCTGATGAAGTGTTTTGATTTTAATGTAATATGTAAACTGAAAGTTATTTATACGAACCTCTGTACGTACCGTACTAGAATAAAGAAATATGAAAATAGAAATCACAGGTGTTATGAAATCCAACTGTTATGGATTTCGTTTTAATAATTTACAAGTTCAATTGATAAAAATTACAATGAAAACTTACCCAATTCTAATTTAGGCAGCTTCATCTTGAGTTCATTCTTTATCAGTTGTTTCGGTTATTACGAGCGGCCAGGGCGTGCTTATTTTGCAATTATTCTTTAGATTTACAGATGACGATAAGGTTAGTTGCAACACGAGCGAATGTTGTATGTTTTGGTGAAGAGGTGTAGGTACCACTAGTGCGCATGTGTCGCGGTCGTCGCCGCCTAGGCCGCGAGGAACAACTCTGCCGCGCTGCGTTAGGCAAGCTGCGCGTCAATACCGCCTCAATGCCGGGATTACAATTCATTCATCCGCCAAGTCCCAGTTCCGCATCGCTTGGGACTCCCCAATAAACAATCAAACACAGCATCGCAACACCCTATACGAATACATTCAAACCAATATGACGATTAATAGACACATATAACTCTTAACACGAACAAATGTGTTCTTAATTTAAGACAATTGACTAGGCCGCGAATAGGAAAACAATACGCGTCGATTGACCGACAACCATAATTTAAATTTATATCAATATTTATAGTCTAATGTGAAGGACGAATCGATACAGATAATTAATTATTAACCCCTAGCAAGGAACTCACCGTTACGGCCAAAGTAAAGCGAAATAATTGCACCCAAGTAACATATGATTAACTCAAAGACAGGCATTGCTACAATAACACTGCACGCACTGCACTGCAGCAAACGATCGAAGTATACCAAACACAAAACTTAATGTATAAACGTTGTTCATAATTTGAACTGTTTTATTACTACTAACTAAATCGACATGGAAATTGAAATCTTCGTTGAACTTGAAATGTGCGCAAATTATTAGCTGAATTATATTAACATTAAGATTAAATATTTAACTTACCTGCGTCAACAGTCTTCACAGGAACTAACACCACGTGCTTGCACATTTTTTAATTTATTATGCTCACGTCGAAATATTATGCGAGATAGTATTTGGTTTACGCGGTACGAAATTAAAGTTACGGTTTAATTTGTTTATTTATTATTGAGTGGACGTGTAGTTGTGCGCCGGGCATAGTGCCGACTGCAGGAAGCATGGCACCACTATTCGCAGTCATGCGACACGGCCGCACCGCTTGCGGCAGCGGCCGGGCGCTGTGTACACCTGACGACAGCTGACTACCTCTACCGTGTCGCTTGTGACAATTAGTAATGGATTTCACACACAATACACTGTCGACCCATTGCAAAAAAATCCTTTTGTGCCTCTTATCGAACGAGTAATGAACAATGTTTCCTCAAATATCAACTACAATCTTAAAAACACAATTGAACCGTTGATCGTTCTTGAATTAGACTTACGGCTTAAACAATTTTCAGTTAATACATGAAATACATTAAATACTTGGCATATTTTATAGAAAGTTAGATTTTGTCTCTAGCAATAGACATATTGTAATTTGTTATGTAGATGAATTTATAAATACTTTTACCAACTTCAATATTTCGTCGATACTGATTTAAATTTTATAAATTAATGTTAGAAAGATTTGAACGATATGAATTTCTAAAAGTATTTGTGTATATGAGTAACCGTGTTTGAACAATAATACAAACAATAAAATATTTACTACATTTTAATATCGAGATTCGCGACAGTTATTGGATTACAATAATTTATGATGATATGTAGGTACTAATAACAAACAAAAATTATCTCGTGATAATTATTTCAGTAAATTTTGTGATATTATGAGTACAATACGTAAAGGTGATCGATTACAAGATTGGTATTTTATCATCCTTTTTAAGAGCATGCTCTTGTCAGTGTAACCCTCCTCCATTCCTAAAATGTGTGGACTGGTTTTATAGGTAATAACGAATTTATGAAGGTTATAATTGAAGGGAAAATAGAAGGAAAGAGAAGGAGAGGAAGATCAAGAATAGAAATCACAAAAATTAATAATTCTTTATAATAATAATTATTATTATAAAGATTATTCTTTATTGCACACAGAAAAGACTTATGAAACACAAGTTACAAAAGACATATACAAAGGTGAGCTTATCTCTAGAAGAGATCTCTTCTAGCCAATTGCGGGACTAATTTTTGTACATACGCCAGCACGTCAAGCTACACATTGAGGTATCTTGTTCCGTTGCAATAGAGGCGATTTTCGAACAAAAATGTGTCGTCTGATGTGCCGTTGTTCTTCGTTGTTCGACTTCACCACAAGAAGATCCTTATTAGTAGCTTTAATGACAGATATGGTATTAGTTACATCAAAGTGTCTATAAATTTGCAAGTCATCTGCATATAAGTGGAACGGAGGAGAAATTAGTTTTGTGAGTTCATTTATGAACAGCGAGAAGAAAAGAGGTGAAAGTACACCACCTTGAGGCACCCTTGAAGTCAAAGGAGACCATTCAGAACAAGTGTCATCATTCTTGATCCTTTGAAGGCAATTGCGGAGGTAGTCTGAAAACCAAGCGATTGCAGCAGGGGAGAAGTTAAGACAGCAAAGAATGGCAAGAAGGATGTCTGTCGACAGAGTTGAAAGCACTGCTGAAGTCCAGTAACACAATAATAGTAAACAATTCGTTATCCATGGCGTGACGTTGAGTAAGGCAGTTACTGTGCTATGACCAGGACGAAAACCGGATGGATACGAACTTATAAGATCATAACGAGAGACAAATGAGAAAAGTTGTTTATGAATAGTGCTTTCAAGGACCTTGGGCAGGAATGGTAGGCTGGAGATAGGACGAAATTGGGAGAAAGCCGTGGGAGTAGCGGATTTGGGATGGCAACGACATGGGCTAATTTCCAGTCGCTAGGAAAGACGCCAGTTGCCAGTGAACAATGCAAAATGTGTGTGATGATTGATGCAACGTCATCCAGGATAGATATCTATATCAAAATCGGGAATATTTATCGAGTTCTTAGGTTTTCGCGATTGTTACACATAGGAAATGAAACTATTTTTCCGGATTTAAATCGCGTATATTTGTTTTTTAAAAAAAAATCGACGTTTCGGGCCCTTACAGGTCCCATGGTCACGGTTGACTGAGATGGTACAGTCTTCAACCAGTTATGTCTAATATTGATCAAACCACCTTATTTTTTCACTATAGTTACAATAGTTATTAATTAAATACCTTATTTTTAATTCTACAAAGGAAACATTCCAATTTACGGTACATTAAATTTTACAAATTATTTTATTGAATGAATTGTAATTAAGTTCAATTTATTATTAATTATTAATATAAATTAGAATAAACTAAAACATATTAATTAGTACTGCAGTCTTATGTCTGTTTGGGATTTTTCATTAGAGGAAATACTGGATCCCAAACTGGTGGTACGGAGAAACCGTCTTCCCTGTTGAAATTAGGATGTTTTTTTAATTTCAATGGCGTCTCGCAGCATCCTGGGTAGATAACGGACTTCTTTTGCAAGGACCTGGGGTTTGTCAAACTTCATTGAATGTGTAGGTTTATCCATGACATGCTCGCAGACTGCAGACTTGTTTACGCGACGGTGTTCGACATCAGCGATATGGTCTTTGACGCGGGTATAAATACTTCGCTTTGTTTGTCCAATATAAGAGAAACCGCACTCACAGTCAAGCTTGTAAACTCCTGCATCCTGTAAGGGGATGTTACATTTCACGGGTCTCAGGAACTGAGAAATCTTCCTCAGAAGCTTGAAATAGGTCTTGATAGATGCACGCCTGAGGACTCTTCCGATCTTGTCTGTAACACCTCTCACGTAAGGTAAGATGGCAGGTCTTCGCTCGACTGTTGGTGGTTTCACACGGGGCCTGCGGCATTGGCGTGGCATCTTCAACTTATTCACATGTAGGACTTGCTTTATATGCTGAAGTTCCCCTGCCAGATGATTACAGTCGCAGACACCATGTGCTCTCTGAAACAAAGATTTGCCCACGGTAGCTAACTGGCTAGGATGGTGATGGGAATTACCATTGAGATACCTGTCTATATGGGTTTTCTTTCGAAATATAGTATGGCCTAAGGTGTTATTAGGATTTCTTTTAATTAAAACATCTAAGAAAGCTAAAGTACCACAATTTTCTTGTTCCATAGTAAATTGGATCTTAGTACTAAAAGAATTAAGATGGTCCAAAAAAGAAGGTATGCTATCTTTAGGTAATATTGTGAGAGTATCTTCAACGTACCGTTTGAAAATCTTCGGCCTAGCTGGGGCCATGGGTAAAACTCGCTTCTCAAAGTCTTCCATGAATATATCGGCAACAACGGGGGATACCGGGGAGCCCATCGCTATACCGTCAATTTGTAGGTAGAATTCATTATTCCACAATAGACAGCCTGATGTTAGGCAGTGTTCTAATAATTCTGCATATTCAATGGACATATTATGTTCTCTCAGCTTTCTACGTACAATTTCAATTTTATTTTTACAAGTAAGTAACCCTTAAGTAAGTACCTAATTGTGGTAATACTGCATTCAAAGACTTAAGAAGTTGCTTGCCTAATCTAGGAATCGAACTGACCAAATAATAATAATAATAATAATACGCATTATATTAATATGTTTCTTGTCTTGACGACTACTGTGTTAGTAATAAACTAGACCTTAACTCTCTAAATGTTTCTACTACTACCCTGGATCCAACTTTTGTCTCTCAACGTCGGTTTGTTTGAAAAAACAAATATACGCGATTTAAATCCGGAAAAATTGTTTCATTCTTGGAAATATTTGTTTTTTTAAACAAACCAACGTTTTGGACTCTTTATAGGTCCCATGGTCACGGCAGATTGAGATGACATTAGTCAAGTTATGTTTAATATACATGCGAATCATCATTCTGAACTGTAGTTTAAATTTACCTTGCAAAAAATGCACATTGTTTAAATATTTTGGAAATAGTATGTAGCGCTAAATAGTTATAGCGCTATATAGCTAGCGTAAATTGGGATAAAGTACTTTAAGGTAGGTACTAAGTTAAATTAATAATGTTTGTTGATGTGTGTATGCATATAATAATATGCGTATATATTCATTGATTCCTACAAAGGACTGTAAATTATAATTATCATAGTGAAAAACGGTTGACACCGCATTTCATTTTACTTTAAAAGACAAGAACAAAAAAACAATGAAAGACCGTATATTAAAAAAAAATATATAAAAAGGATGGCCTTGTCGTGCATGGTATATTTAGGTGGAGTTGAATTTCATAAAGGTACGTTTAACAGTTCAATTAAATATTTTGAATGGTTTCCTCTTTCCGAGGTCATTCTTCACGTGTACCGTACCAACACTACGATACTAGACACTAATCAACAGACAGTGGTACTCAAACTTATCAGAACTAGCATATTATTCACACAATATAAATGCGTTCCAGTCAGTTTAGTAATTACCCTGTTCTATTTGACTGTTAGCACATAGTGGAACTTTAACAACAATCGATCTTTGATTTTTGAAACTTTCCAGAAATAACCTATATAAAACATACAGTATTTAATAAAGGACTATTCTAAATTTCACGAACGAATTTAATAATTCCCAAAAGTCGTAAAAGATAATGTATTCGAAATTACGTAAGTAAGGTGAGGTAAGTGTGCTGGTGAAAGTATAGACACATGGGACTCAACTTTATGTCTTAGAGTGATGGGCAGTTGACAGTGACCCTCAGATCTTTGCGATTTAAATATTAGAGGTGCACAGCAACTGTTTTGGATAAGCGTGTCGCTTAACACCAGGTCCACGAGTTATTTGTCCCGTCACTTGATATCATCAAAAAAAAAAAAATACAAAAAAGTCGAAAAATCTATGGCGTGCTTTTTAAGAGCACAATTAATCTCTGAAGTTTCATTTCAGTCGGTCGATAATAATCCCGTAAAGAACTAACCTATTTTTAAATAAATAGCAGCTATATATCAGAGTTCTATTAGAAACATTTAGAAGCAAATGCAACTTTGAGAATCGTTGATCCGGGTGACATAATCAAACCAATAGTGATGTCAGATGCCTGTACCAAATCGTCTAGTATTTAGTTTCTGCAATTTTCTGTCAATTTTGTAATTACAATAGTAGGTGTATTTTAGTATTGCCATTGCAAAACCATTGGTTTGGTTCGGCATTATATACGTACGTAT